AGAGAGCTGGTAAGGGGCCAACACTATCTTGTTCCGCGAGTGTTTGTTTATGCACGTAACTCAAGGTGATTATATAGAGTTTTTGTATTGTATTTGGACTGTGGCCTGTCACATGAGTTCATGTGTGAAATTTTCTACTTGTGGTATATCAGCACTCAAAAATTTTCTGATCTTAGAACATTTCAGATTTTAGGTTTTCAGAGTAGAGAAGTTCAGCTGGTACGTTGTTCATCTCTGCGTGAAACAGTTGTGTTGTACTCAGTTTTCGTTGTGTATATTTGGGATCCCAGTGTAAGATTTTTGTAATGACTTCTGCTAATATTCTGATTTTGTGATTCTTCCATGTTAGTATGTGTGTTCATTTTCTTGGATGGATGGATGAGAGAGAGTACTCTTGTGTGACTGTACCTTCCTCCACTCGGGATATTTGGGCACTTCTTAGTTTCTCCTTATTCCACCTGTGGCTGTTTTAAATATTAATATAAGTGTTGCAGTGCATGTATGTAAGAGTTTTTATATAAAGTATAGTATATATTTATACCAAGAATGTGCGACTTAAACTGAAGATGATGTCAAATGGTTTTTCAAGGTGGTTGCATGGATATCAAAAAAAACTTTACAACAAAATACACTTTTACTTTTTAAAAACATTACTTAATTTTATTTGTTGTTGTTTTTTAATTTGCTGTAGGGCATGTGTGCTTAATGGGGGGGAGGGGGCATGAGAAAGCAAGCTGCCAGTTCCAGGACTCAAACTACAGTTGGCCATGTGGGAATCCAGGACTTTAACCACCATGCTATCTGCTGGCACCATAAACTTGTCCTTTAACGTTCTTTTTTTCCCCCACAAACTTTTTGACGTCCCCTGTACTTTTTTAAAAAGTTTGTCTCTGCCAGTCTAATTAGTATGATACATTTTCTCATTGTAGTTTACATTTGCATATCTCCTATTGAGGACTATTCATATATCATTAATTTCTCTCTCATCTTTACTTTTTATCTTGTATCTGCTTTAGGTTTTGCATTGTCATCTTTTTCTGATGTCCCTAGGTGAAAAGTTAGGTATGGATGTGAGATCTTTCTTTTTCTTTTCTTTTTCTGAGAGATTTTTGCTATAGAGTGAATATTGCCTGCCAGAGAGAGGGAGAGAAAGAGCAAAAAAATCACTCCCCATGGATGGATGGCTAAGCCGCAGTCTCTTCTCTGGAGAATTTGGGCACACGTGTACACATACCCGGCATGAGTTTCAAGCTGCTGGGTCCAGGACTTGAACTGCAGTTGGCCACGTGGAAGTCCAGTGTCTTAACCACTATACCACCTGCAGGCTCCAATATTTCTTCTTTCTTAACATAGGCATTGGGGCCAGCCTTGTTGCCTAGTTGTTAAAGGGAGCCAGATCGCACATTGCTGACCATGTGGCTCAGTTCTCTGCTCTGGCGGCTTACACATGCTAGATGCTTTTTTGCATGTGGGCTTAAACTCCTGGCCGAGTTGGAGGAATGGATAAGGGATTGCAGTATGACCAAGCTCCATCAGGAGGTGCATGTTCTCTCTCTCTCTCTCTCTCTCTCTCTCTGGTGAGTTCATACACTTGTTAACAAAATATACATACATTTGTGTGTGGGGGGGAGTCATTTACAGCTGTGAATTTTCCTCTAAGTACTGTTTTATCTGTGTTTCCATAAGTTTTTCAGATGCACCTTTCTTTTTGTGATAGAGAGATTTTTGCTATAGGGCATGTATGCTTGCCAGACAGACCTAGAGACAGAATGTGCGAAATCACCCAATGGAGGGATGGTCACTTTGCAATCCCTTCTCCTCCATTCTCTTCTTGGAGTTTTGGATGGGTATGCATGCACCCTACCCCACCACTCCCCTGCATGAGTTTTAAGCTCCCAGGTCTGGGATTCAAACCATGCTTAACTACATGAGAGTCCAGTGATATAACCATTATGCAATCTGCTGGTCCCAGGCAGTGATATAACCATTATGCAATCTGCTGGTCCCAGGTACTGCACCTTTAGCTCAAGTTTTTCAAGTTTTTTGTTTTTGTTTTTGTTTGTTTGTTTTTTTTTTTTCATTTCTCTTTTGATTCCTTCTGTGACCTTTTGAGTTTTGGGGACTGTGGTATTTTTTTACCTATTCATAAATTTACTAAATTTCCTTACTAATTTCTAATGTCATTTCACTGTGGATGGAGACTATAGTGTTATCTTTTCCTTTATGTTTATTGGGGTTTGTTTCATAGCCTAGCATGTCATTTTTCTTAAAGAGGAGGAACGTTCACATGTACTCGAGAAGAGTGTGTATTTCCTGTTGCTGGATAGAGCATTTTGTAGATGACTGTTAGGTCTGGTTGGTTTATAGTTTGTTCATTTTTAATTTCTGTGATAATCTGCCTAGTTGTTCTACCCACATTCTCTCTCAGCTATAAGGCTTTTCTTAGAGACGACAGGGAAGGCCCTTTCCCCACTTCTGCTCTGGTCTGTACACAGTTGCATGGCTTATTACCTTCATCAAAGAGGATGCCTTTCAGGATGGTGAAGTTTGAGGAACACCTTTATTAGACCCAGCATCAAGGATGCGTGTGTTGGCTATCCTCGCTCATCTTCCTCTGGAGTATTCTAAGCCTGTGCTAGACAGCATACATTAGCCCCTGGGTCCATGTGGCTGTTGACATTAAACTGGAAGTTGAATTCTTCAGTCACACTGAGCACATTTCATGGTAACCAGTGGTTGCCGTGTTGGATAGACAGCACTGATAACGTTTCCTTCATCACAGACACTGATCCCTACTTGGTAGTTAACTTCATTGATTGTTATTTGGTTTTGTTACACTCTTTACTTTTTTTTGAGGATGTTGAATTTGTTTGCAGTTTTTTCATTCATCATTGGGTAAGAATGCCAAAGATGGAGTAAAAATTCTGTTAAGTTTAAAGAGAAGTGAAACATACTGATTAAGATTCTACTGTTTATGAACTGTGTGATCCTGGGCACATTACTCATATATATATATATATATTTTTAAGGGCAAACACGAATCACAGGTAGCCCTGGAGCTGAGGAACAGCTTTGATTTTTGGTAAAGTTTGCGAGTCCACAGCTTTCTGATGAATCTGAAATCTGATCTGCTCTGAAATCTCCTATTTCTCCTTCTCTGTGTGGAAGATCTCACCTTCCTGGTGTCTGGGCTTCCACAGTTTCTTTTTCTTGAAGTAAGCATTGGTAAGATGCTTTGGGATTTTTATTTTGCTTATGTCAATTTTCGTGGAGGTGGCAATGACAAACTTCTGGTGGGTTCTACAGAGTGACACTCTATTAAGAACCAGTGGTCCAGTTACAAGTAGCAAGCCACTGCTCAGCTGCTGCAGGAACACCACCCAGTGAGGATGATCAGAATGATCCCAAGAGTGATGCTGGCTCGCAGCTTTCTCACAGGCTGACTGAAGGGTTTTTTGCCATGACTAAACAGCTTTCGAGGCACATCTTCAGTAGGATAATACCTAGGCATTTTGCGCAGTTTAACCACACGAGTACCACCGTTCTTGTCTCCACCAACTGGTTTTATGACAGTCGCAAGAACCTTCTCCTTTTTCTTTTCGATCCTGGATTTAGTGGCCGAGTATTTCCTCTTGTACATGGCCTTCCTGGAATACATGGCAGACCGGGAGTATCTGCCGATGCCCTGGACTAGGACAGGGTTTCGGCTGCTATGGGGCTTCCCCTTCTTGGGCTTTTTCGCCTTGAGGTCACCCTTTTTTCTTTTTCTTTGGAGAGGTTTTTGCTATAGAGCGCGTGCGCTTGCTAGACAGACAGAGAAAGAGAGACAGAAAGCGAGAAATCACCCCCTGAGGGGAGATGGCCACGCTGCAGTCCCTTCTCCTCCATTCTCCTCTCGGGATCTTGGGCATGCGCGCACACACGCCTGGCGTGAGTATAAGCCACCGGGTCTGGGACATGAACCACGGTCGACTACGTGGGAGTCCAGCAACATGGCCATTACACTAACTGCTGGTCCCGGGGTCACCCTTTTTAACCTTGCCACTGGCATCAGCCTTCTTGGCTTCAGGTTTCTTCTCCTTAGTACCCTGCTTTGCAGCTTTTTCACCTGCTATCTTATATAGTGGGAAAGAGAACTAAACTCAGGCACATTACTCTTAGTTTCCTCATCAATGAAATAAGGATGCTAGAAAGGCTAAATGAATTAATGTACAAGAAGTACTGAAAATAGCACTTTTGTCTTTCCTAAACAGCTTTTAAGTTATTAACATGCATTAGTATGCTTTGTCATTTAAAAGTAAGATTCTTAGACAAACTTAAATAATTGGATTTCTTTTCTCGTATTGGTATATAGATTAAGCAATCTATCTTAATCTTTGTATGGTTATACAATACTGTTTTCTAGGGGATTTGTTATATGTATGTAGTAATTTTACTATTTTTTTTTTGAGAGGTTTTTGCTATAGGGACACGTGCGCTCGCCAGACAGAGACAGAGACAGAAAGTGAGAAATCACCCCCCCAGGGGAGATGGCCACGCTGCAGCCCCTTCTCCATTCTCCTCTTGGGATCTTGGGTACACACGCACACATGCCTGAATATGAGTTTAAGCCACCGGGCCCAGAACTCGAACCACGGTCGACTACATGGGAATCTGCGACACAGCAATTACGCCAACTGCTGACCCCAATAATTTTACTATTCTAATAGATGTGTCAGTAATTTAGATATTCACATATTAATTGGTAGTTAAGTTTCCAGCTTTTAACTGTCTTGGGTTACTGTACAGTAACTTGTATGTGTAACTTCAGGTATTTTTGAAAGTATATCAGAATGGTAAATATGTAAATGTGAGTTTATTGTAGATACAGATTATATATTATATTTTGATGAATACTGTCAGTTTGCTTTCTAAAAAATTTGTTCCAGTTTATACTCCCATGAACAATATAAAAGGGTGCTTATATATGCAGGCTAATAATTATTCTTTAAAATCTTTGCCAATCTTGGGCCAATAGAGTGAAGACACTTGGTCTCATGTGGCTGACTGCATGGTTCAAGTCTTGGACCTGGCAGCATGAGAATCATGCCAAGTGCACGTGCATGCATGCCCAAGACCCTGGGAGAAGGAGGGGTTGTGGCATAGCCATTCCCCCAGGGGATTTCTCATTTTCTCTTTTTTCCTTTTTTTAGAGAAATTTTTGCTATAGGGTGCATGTGTTCACTGGGGAGATAATAGAGAAACAGAAAGTGAGAAATCACCGCCCGGAGGGATGGCCATGCTGGAATCCCTTCTCCTTCATTCTCCTCAAGATTTTTTGGGCACACTCACATGCCCAGTGTGAGTTTCAAGCCTTTGAGTCCAGGACTTGAACTGCAGTCAGCCATGTGGGAGTCCAGTGACATAACCATTATGCCATCTGCTGGTCCAACTTTCTCTTTCTTTCTGGTTAACACATCTGTAAACAAAAACCTTAAACAACAATAACACACTTTACCAATCTAAAAAATTTTTAATATTAGATCGTTTTATTGATTGATAGTTTGCTATAGGGCGGATGCACTCACTGAGGGGAGAGGAAGAGAGAGCTAGAGAGAAAAAGTGAGAAATCACCCCCCAGAGGGAAGATCACCTGCAGTCCCTTCTCTGTTCTCTTTTTGTGATTTTGGGCACACATGCACAGGCACCTGGCATGCTTTTTCAAGCCACTGGATCTAGGACTTGAACGGCAAGGTCAGCCGAAGGGTCCAGTGCCTTAACCTACGTGCCACTTGCTGGCCCAACCTAAAAAAGTTTTTTTAAATAGAATCTTACTGCTTTTTAAATATAGTTAAATATCCTTTTGTGTTGGTTGATGGTTTTTATTTAATTTCCTTGTGTGTATACTTTGCCCTCTTTTCTGTTATAATTTTTGCCTTTTTAATAATCGTTTGAAAATGCTTATATATTCTTTGTGTATCCTAAAATGCCAATATATATAATACATATTATGTAATAAGCTTCTTCAATCAGAATATTCTTTTTGTGGGACCAGTAGTTAGCATAATGAGTATGCCGCTGGATTCCCATGTAGTTGACTGCGGTTTGAGTCCCGGACCCGGTGGCTTAAAATCACACCAGGTGTGTGTGCCCAAGATCCTGAGAGGAGTATTTCTTGCTTTCTGTCTGTCTGTCTCTCTCTTTCTGGCAAGCACATGCACCCTATAGCAAAAACCTCTCAAGAAAAAAAAAATACATTATTTTTGTCAGTTTATCCTTTTTTGTTTGTCATACATTTTGATCTTTTAAAATATTTAATTATAGGGACCAGCAGATGGCATAATGGCTATGCTGCTGGACTCCCATGTAGGCGACTGTGGTTCGATTCCCAGACCCGGCGGCTTAAACTCACATTGGGTACTTGTGCATGTGTGCCCAAGATCCTGAGAGGAGAATGGGGGAGAAGGAATGGCAGCGTGGCCATCCCCCCTGGGGGGTGATTTCTTGCTTTCTGTCTCTCTCTGTCTTTCTGGCAAGCGCATGTGCCCTATAGCAAAAACCTCTCCAAAAAAAGAAAATTTATTTCCAGAGGGAACATATGCTTGCCAAAGAGATAGATAGGGAGAGAGAGAAAGCACCACCCTCTACCCCAGTGGACTGTGGTCAAGCCACAGTCCCTTTTCCTTAATTTCTTCTTTCTGCTGGGATTTTGTACACATAAGAACATGTGCTGGCATGTCTCTCAAGGTGCCAAATCTGTATGAAGAGTCATGTGGGATCTGGCTTCCTTAATCACTAGGCCATGAGACCAGTCCATTTTTCTCTTTTTGCAGTGAATTTTATTTTAGAATAAGGAGATACAAGAACCCACCTTTTGTTTTTTCTGTTCATTATATGTACACTCTTTAACAACTTTATGTTCTTATTTACATATTTTTACTGTAGCCTATAATACATCACAAATGTTTGTAGAATTTAGAAGTCTCCAATATAGTTATAATATGAAAAAGAACTTTATGGTACATGTTAGTGATAAAAGTATAACTATATATTTCATAAATATAAAAGGTATTTCCTATCATTAATTTGTTTTGAAATAGTATTCTTGTGATATTATTTACCTGTGAATGATTTGTGAACATTTTATGAAAAATTATTTACTTGTTAAATATGCATTTTTGTAAGTTCCTTCATTGTTAACCGAGATTCCTTATAAAATTTGAGGAATACATTTCTATAAATTAGAAAAAATTGCTATCCTTTTTCAAGGTTTCATTTGTATACATTATTTGCAGGAATACTTACTTCATTATGGAGAGGGATAGTAATTGCTTTGGCGCCTGGAAACTATCTTGTGGAACTTTTGGGGTTTTCTTCCCTGTACTTCTCCATCTCATTCCCCTTTCCTTTCAGTTTTTGTTTTCCTATGGTGGAGGGAAAAAAGGCAAGATAACGGTACATAGAGGGAGCTAATTTTACCCAGTAGTATGTAGATGCTATTACTAAGTACCAGGATATTGTATGTTAATATAAGGGAGGCCTGGGGGCAGCAGGTGGCGTAGTGGTTAAGATGCTGGACCTCTCACATGGCCGACCATGGTTTGAGTCCTGGACCCTGCAGCTTAAAACTCATGCCAGGTGCATGTATGTGCATGCCCTGATTCGTGAGAGAATGGAGGATAAGGGATTGGGGCATGACCATCCCCTCTGGGGGGTGATTTCTCTCTCTCTTCTCTCTCTCTCTCTACCCCCCACCCCCCCGGTGAACACACACACCCTATAGCAAAACTCTGGGGGGAAAAAATGAAAGAAAAAATATATAAGAAAGGCCTAGTCTGTGAGGAAAATGTTTTACTACTATTTGCTTTTTTAACTTCATATTTGTCAAAATTTACTTTATGGCAAATACTATTTTTAGTAAGATCTCTAGAACAAAGTTTCATGATACGTCATTTAAACTTCATTAATTTATTACTTATCCTCTTTTCTCTTTGATTTTTTTGGTGAGAACATATTTCAGTTATTAAAATCACTAGTCACGGCATAGTTTACTTGTAGTGATAGAGTTGTCTGTAGAAACTTTTTCTTCATATTTTTCCTTCTTTCCTATTATTTTCACAGAAAGAACATGTTCTCTGAATAACTGTACAGTGGCCAAAAGAATTGGAAAAGGAAAAGATGCTACTGTCATCTTTGAGCATTTCAGGAAACCTGTAGATCCATTCATTCAGGAAAACTGTTCGTGCAGTGGGCTCAATTTAGAGATAAATCCTTCCAACTCAAATGTTTCTAATTCCTGTGGAAGTCAGCAAAATGGAAGCATTTCTATGCATGAAACATACAGTGGGACAGAGCACAGTCCAGCAGGAACTAGAGACACTTCTCAAGTACTTGCACAAGATTCAGCTTCTTCATTTACACCCAGTGATACCAGAGAACGTGTTAGTGATGGTGACCTCTTGTTCAATTTGGCATGTCTTCAGAATGTTCTAAGTGGTCTTTCTGCTGCTTTTCCCCTTCAGAGCAATATTGGCTCAAGCACAGTTATTACTTCAAAACTCATCAAAGACCCAAGACTGATGAGGAGAGAAGAAAACCTGGGGAAACAGAATAATACTGCAGGTTTAAATGAGATTTTGCCATTTGAGAAGAGTTCAAGTTATATTAATTCAGAAATAAACCTCCCATCTGTACCCACTAATTCTGCCTTCTCATCTGAGGGTGACCCTGGTGAACGTGCTTTTCTTACGAATTTTTTGGATACCCCTTGCTTCAAGATTCCTTTTGGTGATTCACAATTTCAGACCCATAGCATGAGCTCTAAGAATTATGATCATGCAACTCCCGGAAGAGTTAACATGGAAGGACAGTGTAAGGACCAAGGCAGTGTTTCTTTTCCAATATCTTTGTCAGATGTAGTTTCAGACACTGAAAACCAAAACTACAGTGAAGCAGAAGTGCTGAAAGCCCAACAAAGAAGCAACATCCCACTTTTAATCAATCAAAGCACTGAGCCATATCACTCTGATGAATCAGTGAATTCTTGTACACAGGAATGTAACAGTCACATCTTGCAGGGATCACAGTCTTCTCAAGAGACTGTGCATCACCCTGGTGACCGGATGTCTACAGTTTTCCCTCAAAAAAAGAAAGAAAGCATCATAGATAAGTGCATTCAAAATATTGGAAAGATGAGAAACTTCACTGACCCAGAAGACAGTTCCAAATGTGGAGAAAAGCAAATTTCTTGGAAAGAAATTGAAAGTTATTTTAGTAGTGAAACAAGAATAAGTTCAGTAGATAATTACTTTCCATCATACCAACAATATGCAGAGTGTGAGAGTCTTGATTCTTCTGGAGAAAAGGGTGATAAAATAGCAATTGCTCAAGAGTTACAAATACCTAAGTCTTCCATGTATACCAGGGAGGATGAGGATGAACTGGATCATCTGTCATTAGAACTGCAAAATAATATTACTCCAAGTGTAGAGTGCCTTTCACAAAAGCATCCTCAACACACTCTGGCGTATGAAGATAACATTCATAAAAGTTTTGCCATTGCTCACAATCTAATGGAACTGAAATTGGAAGAAGAAAATCAAAATTGTGTTAGCATTATGACTAATGATTTCCCTGAAGCAAATGCTATTCCCCAGGCTGAAGAACTGCCCATGGATACAGTTATTTCATATCATGACATTGAAACAGCTCTTGACAATTCAAATTGCAGCATAAGTAGAGAACAAATATTTGTTCACCGGGAAAATGAAAATGAGCCAGTGTCATTAGAAAACATGCAGAGAGACTGCAAAGAAGCTCCTCCTATTGAAGACGAAGGTCAGGATCAAGTTCTGCTCTGTAGTGCACACTTGAACAATGATGAAGGCCTGAACGTTAATTTTAGAGAAGGCAGCAATAATGATGAAGGACACCAAAATGAATCTAGAGAGCAAGATAGTACTTCACCTTCAGAAAACAGCAGAGAGAATATATATGAAGATGAGAAGCAGGGTTTTTATATAAACAAGAATGTCACCAGTATGGATGAAAGAAGGGATGATAAAAATGGCAACAATGTAGAAAGTCTGAGTTCTGAAAAATTTTCTTCTACATTTAACTTGACTTGGGGAGAGAACTATGTGTCAAAAGAGACTGTATTATTAGAGAGTAAAAGTGCTGTTAATTCTATAAGACAGAAAGATACTCAAGTTACTGGAAAAAGTATAGATCATTTTGCTTCCACAACATCTGCCAAAATTTCAGGTTCTTCATTGTGCGTAGCCTCATATGCTACAGAACACACAGCCAGTAGCACCTTGCTTGCAGTAAGCACAAAGCTTGAAGATCACCAGGGTTCTCATTTTAAAGGAACTTGTTCTTCTGGGATTACAGATTCTTGTTTGTTAGAACAGCATGGGGTTTCTGACTGTGAAATTGATACAGAGAAAAATAAACTACAGGATTCATTTCATCAACCAACAGATGAGAAAGTTCTTCAAAGTTTAGAACCAGAAAATGAGATTGAAGTACAATCAAAACAATGTGGTGATACTGTTCTATTTCAAGAAGATACACTTAGCCATGGAAATGCACATTATGATGACTTTGGAGACATATATGAGGTTTTGAAGGCCCGCATCGATTGGGAAGGTCTGTTTGGAAGCAGTAATGTGCAGGCAGAAATTTCACAAAGCACAACAAGAAGGGAAAATAGTGATCGGCATTGCTCTAAGAATAATTGTTTTTATTCCTTTACACAAAAAAGCAAAACAGAGCGCCTCACACCAATTTTACTTCCAGATCTACAAATTACAATTACAAATACAGTTAGGCCAGAAGGTAGCTTCTCTGCAGACTCCCTTGCATTGAAAGATAATTTTCGCAAAGATTTAACTGAAGCCACAAACCCAGAAATAAATGAGAAGAGGGAAGATCCAGAATTTTATAGTTATTTCCAGCCTTCTGGTGAAAATTCAGGTTACCCATGTGAAGATAAATTTGGTAATACAAAGCAAGAATCTGGATTAGTGAGTAAGTCTGCACTCTCCCTTTCTTTTGACTTGAGTCCTAATACACATGTACATCTTATGTCTGAAAAACAAAAAAATGAATCTTTGTTTACTCAACCTTCTGATGTCACAACAAGAAATAGCAGAAGTAGATATTTCTTTACAAAATCAAAAGCTGACTCTAATGATTCTAGAAGTAAAAAGGATAGGGGACCAAGAATTAGCAAAAGAAAACTACATACATCTTACAGGAATCAGAACATGTCACACAAAGATTTAAGAGAGCACGAAATTTGTGGGGGAAAGAAGAGGGTAATTCCTCACGACACATCTGAGTGTTTTTTTTCATTATCCCAAGGACGAATTAAAACATTTTCACAATCAGAAAAGCACATTAGGAGTGTCCTGGATATTCTGAATAGTGAAGCATCTTTATGCAAAAGTAAACGTCTTTCCAGAAAACTTGACAGAGCCGTTCTTCACCTAAAAAAAGCTCATAGAAGAGTTCACACATCTTTGCAACTCATAGCCAAAGTGGGAGAGAAAAGAAAGGTCCCATTACCAAAATCATATGCAATTGTATGCAATAATTTCTGGGAAAGCTGTGACCTTCAAGGTTACAGTACTGTGTCTGAAAGGAAATATTATTCCACTAAGCATTTTTGGTCAAAAAGAAATTATGATAAACAGGGAGAGAGAAGAGCCATAGGATTTGATGTTGGTAAATCATTAACCCATGTGTCAAAGACGGAGTCTTATGAAACAAATGGAGAGAGAGTCACAAAGAGCCTTTCCAGGGGAAGTGTGGCAAGCAGTGTCTCTAAAAGTCACACTACAATTCACATGAGGGAATTTTATGATCAAGAACAACATGCTGAATCACAGTTGCTCCTACCCCTCACAACCCAAAGTACAAATCAGTCAACTTATAAAAATAGCAGTGTGAGAAATTCCAGAGCATCAGAACATCAGCCCCTTTCCACAGAAAGTAGGTGTCTATTTTCCCCAGGCCACACAAATGAGAAACTAACTGAAAAAGGAAATCAAACTGACACAGAGTTTTTATCCAACATTAGTAAATATGAGAAGTCTGAGAACCGTTCAGCACATAATATTGAGGATACAACCAAAGACAATTCTGAGGTTAATGTAGTAATAAATGAAAGTAATTCGGTGTTTTTAAGTTGTAAAAAAGGAAACAGGATAAGTTACAGCACAGACAAAAATCATGCAAGTTATATACCACACACAAAGGTGAAAATGGGTATACTTACTTCAGTCTTAAAATCAAATATGAAGCACTTTTTAAATGTTGGTATCTACAAACAAGACAGTCTTCTTTTATCTGGGTGTAAAAGAAACTTGGAAGTGAGTTTTCCTACAGAAATGTGGGCAGTTGCTATTGAAAGCTCCAAACCAAGCATTAGGATAGGAAACTTTTTTATGGACCCATTAAACCTGCCTTTGACAGCAAGCAGAAAGTACAGTATCCCTCAGTTGTTACCTGCTGCTCCTGTGACAGACAGTGAGGGAGAATCTTCCAAATCTTACTTGCGTAAACCGAGAATTTTTGCTATTGGTTCTTTTGCAGCATGCACTACATCACACTGTCAGCAGAGAGATGGTGCAGAGGAACTTCCAAAGGTAGAACAATGCCCTCAAAGTAATTGTTCCCAGGTAGATGGGAAAGAAAGAAATGTTGCAGAGAATTCTGAGTTGGATCTGATGTTAGTAAATGAAAATAAAAGTCATGGAAAAAATATAACGAAGAAGCTGGTTTCCAGTGATAGATCATTGCTCTTGAAAGAGAAGAGTTCTAAAGATAAATACATTGCAAAGAAAGACATTCAGAACAGAAAAATATGGAGAGTTAAAGAGCCTGATGACGCAAAAGACTTAGTTAACAAAAGCATGACTGAAGCATCAACTGTTAAGACTGGGTACAAAAGCCAGAATAAGATCATAAGAGAAGAACTCTCTCACATAAATGAGAAAACAGTTAAAAATAACTTGAGTGATTCTCATCTTACCATTAAAAATATGAGTGTTGATGCAGGCTCTTCAAAGAACACAGTGTTTAAACAGCTTAACAAGAAAAAATATAGGGGAGTGAAGGTTGGCGGTAACTCTCAGCCAGACTCAATACTGTGTTCAGAAGTAGCTAGTGATTCTCAGCCAGGTGAGCCAGACATTCTGGGAGTTCTTCATTTCCCTGTCTTACATGCCCACTCTAAAGTCACTGCTATTCAGAAGCCTACTTCACACGTGAATGAATTTAAAGCAAAAAAATGCTCAGCCAGTTGTCCAGCCCTTATAACTAAGCTGTCTCAAATTTTACAGAGAGCAGATGAAGCATCATCTTTACAGATTCTCCAAGAAGAAACTGAGGTTTGTCGAAATATTCTCCCTTTATTTGTTGAAGCATTTGAAAGGAAGCAAGAATGTTCCCTTGAACAAATTCTGATTTCAAGAGAACTATTGGTAGAACAAAATTTGTGGAATAACTGGAAGCACAAATTAAAGCCCTGTGCTGTTGACACTTTGGTAGAACTTCAAATGATGATGGAAACTATTCAGTTCATTGAAAATAAAAAGAGGCTATTAAAAGGTGAACCAACATTCCGAAGTTTGCTTTGGTTTGACAAGACACTGTATGGTGAGTTACTGGGCAGACCACGTGGATATCAACAGCAGTCCAATTTCTATCCTGCTTTTCAAGGAAGGTTAAAGTATAATGCATTCTGTGAGTTGCAGAATTACCATGATCAGTTAATTGAGTTGTTTGAAGAAACAAAAAGGGAAAATAATTCATATTATGCGTTTTTAAAATACAAACGACAGATGGATGAATGTGAAGCCATCATGAGGCATTGTTCTGATTGCTTTGATTTTTCTTTGTCTGTTCCATTTACCTGTGGCGTTAACTTTGGAGATAGTTTAGGAGACCTAGAAATCTTAAGAAAAAGTACTTTAAACCTGATCAGTGCATACAGGAACGCTCCTAAAGTACAGTCATGTCCAGGAAAACAAGACCATTTATGGATTATCATAGAAATGATCTCCTCAAAAGTTAATTTTATCAAGAGTAATGAGGCAGTAAACATTCAGGTATCTCTTTATGGCCTGGAACATATCTTTTTTGATGCTGCAAAAACACTTACTTGGAAAGAAAGAAAACAATCTTTTGACAAAAAGTACTCAGGAAAGAAGAACAAAGAAATGCTACTCAAAATGAATCAATGTGCTTATGCTAAGCTGAAGAAAATATACGATACTTTGTCTAAAGAGTTAAACAATAAGCCAATTCCCAGTATTGGGCTTGAGGAACATATGATTGCTTCCAGAAAGTCAGATGATGTAATAAAGAAATCAGCAATTAGCATGGAAAATTATAGGTTTAACAGTACTTTGCTTTCACATCCAGATATTTGTTGTATTAGTGAAATACTGGAACAAGCTGAATATGCAGACTTCAGAAAATTACAGCAACTCTCTTTGAGATGTACAGATCACTTAGCAATTTTGAAAAAATACTTCCAGATGCTTCAAGAGGATAACATAGATAATATTCTTATCACAGAAGAAAATGTTTTGGACATGGTAAAAAACCGCAACCATGAGGCTATCATTTTAAAACCTGCAGCTGTTGAGACATACATTGAAATTGTCATGCTCTCAGAAACTGTTCACTTTCTTAAAAACTCAATGGCGAAGAAACTAGACAAACAGAGATTTCGGGGTATGCTTTGGTTTGATTTGTCCCTGCTTCCTGAGCTGATTCATTGCCAAGAAAAAATGGCTTCCTTTTCCTGCCTTAAAGGTAACTCAACAGATTGCCTTTGGGAAGTGATAGATACTGCTGTTTCTGAACTTAAGAAGGATCTGGATGTTATCTACAAATATAATGAGGCCGTCAATTGTCTTTATGCTTTTCATTTGTTCTCAAGAGAACTTGAAGAACTTTCAGAAATAAAAAAACTTCTGAAGAAGTCTCAGTATTCAGTTTCCACATACACTGGCTTTGTGCCATATATTGCATCCATAAATTATGGGAGCACTGTGACAGAGTTAGACTATAACTACAGTCAGTTTTCTACACTGCTCAAAAACATAATGGCTTCCCCTCGAAAGGATTTAGGAAAGATGGCTCATACTATGAAAATCATGAAAACAATTGAACACATGAAGACGGTATGTGCTAATAAAAATGCTGAATTAACCGTTTCCTTCATCCTGTGTCAAATGCTATATAACAGAAGGAAGACTCTCCAACTGAAGAGAAAAGAAAAGGTGGATATTCATGTTATAAAACCTGGGGGAAATGTCAATAAATCCAGTATTTCTATGAAGGTACCCTCAATTTCAGAGTACATAATTAAAAATGTTACAAATTCTTCTAAAAAACGACCTATCACTCTAGACAAATGTGAAAACTCTCAGGAACAAGAGAAAAATATAGCTATCTCCAGCTGTAAAAAGCAAAAGGTATGAACTTTTTTTTTTTTTTTTTACCTTCAGTCACTATTTATCTTTATAGTATACAAAATTTTCCCAGCATGAATACACTGTATTTTAGTCTAGTCAAAGATATTATCATACATATAATCAACAGGTAATTTTTTGTTTTCATGTCCTTTAAATGTTTTGCCTTGTTCCCCTTGATTGTATCCCTCCCACACCCATTTTCCACCCTTCTCCCATACTCTCTGATATCCACAGTTGCTTTCCATGTTTTTATACCTTATCTTTCCGTTATTGCCATGAGTGCAGACATTTGGTTTATATTATACAATACCCCTCTTTCATAGTCTGGGTTGCTTCACTTAGCATTAAATCTTCCATATTCGTCCATTTTCTATCAAATGTCAGGGTCTCGTAGTGTTTTATTGAGTAGTAGTGCATAGTGTATATGTGCCACACTTTTAAAATTCATTCTTAGACATTTGGGTTGATTCCATGTCTTAGCAATTGTGAATAATGTTGCAGTAAACAGAGATGTGCAAATGTTTTTCTAATTGAATGTATTCCTGTCCTTGGGGTAGATACCCAGGAGTGGAATTGCTGGATCATATGGAAGTTCTATTTATAGATTTTTGAGGAACCTCCATATTGTTCTCCACAGTAGCTGGACTAATTTTTTTTAAAAGAGCTTTTTGCTATAGGGCACGTGTGCTCACCAGAGAGACAGAGACAGAAAGTGAGAAATCATGCCCCAGGAGGGATGGTCACACCGCACTTTCTTCTCCTCCATTCTCTCGGGATTTGGGCATGCAGGCACACATGCCCTGTGAGAGTTTCAAACTAGGTCTGGGACTTGAACTGCTGTTGGCCATGTGCAGGTCCTTTGATGTAACCATTATGCCATCTACTCGTCCATGACTGTACTAATTTACATTCTCACCAACAGTGTAGGAGAGTTCCCATTTCACTGCAACCTCACCAGCACTTACCATTCTTTATTTTTATAATCTTAGCTGTTCTAACAGGGGGTTAGGTGGTATCTCATTGTGGTTTTTATGGGCATTTCCCACGGATCAAATGTTTTCTCCCTTTCCATTTCTCTCTCTCCTCTCTGGTGAGGGCATGTGCCCTATGGCAAAATCCTAAAAGGAAAAAAAAGTCAAGTATTTATTTTGAGAGCAAATCTACTCCTTTAGAGGAAGTAATTTGTAGATTTGTACAAATTGAGAATGCTTTAAATATTGCCTTGCAAAGTGAATTTACTAACTAAAGTATTAGATTTAACAATTTGTGATACCTGTAAAATTATATAAATGATTCTGTATGTGGCAGACACCTTGAAAATGTCTACTTTTAAAAACTAATTTAGGAAACATTTCTTGGAAGAATGTGAGTGATAATAGCTTCTTCAGAGAAAGTTCAATATTATGAGTGTGTGTTGAGTGAGTGACTTTCTTAAAGAAATATTTAACTTTATTTATTATTATTACTTTCCAGTTTGATCAGAGAAAGTGAGAAAGCAAGCCACCAAGTCTGGGACTCAAACCAACTAGTTTATATGTACTAAGCCTATTCCCCGTATAGTGAATATTAAAAACTAGCTAATGAGCACGTCTGCCTGACCATTATCATCTCGATGGAGCACTGACATCTACCTCCAGATGATTCTCAAAGAGTTGAAATAAGCCTGATTAAATGCTTATTTTCAGTTGCCAGGAGGCGAGTGTACGTGCTGGAGAGAGAGGAGAGGGACAGAGCACCCCAATGAGGTGTGGCCGTGCCACGTCCTTCTCCGTTCCTCCACCCTGGTGGGGTTTGGGGCACGTATATACACACATGCCCAGCATGTTTTTCAAGTTCTGGGGTTTAGGTTCAAACTACACAGTTAGCCAGGTGGAATCTGGCCCCCTTAACCACTAGGCCATAGAGCTGGCCCAATAGGAATATATTTTAACATTTTACATAGCATTTATTGTGTGTTTTGCACTGTTTTAAGGAATCGAACATTACCTTTTTCTTTACAAAAAAAATCTTAACGATATATGCTTTATTACTGTCTCATGTAAAGTTAAGGGAACTGAAGCGTAGAAAGAGTAAGTCCCTCCCCTGAGGTCACACAGTAGATTAGAGAGCCCAGACCTAACCCAGGCAGCCTAGCTCTAGAGCCCCGCTGATAGTTGTCTTGGTTTACGCTCAGACCTACCACTCAATTTTTGGAGAATTATTTTCATTCAGAAGTAAACAAACTTACATGCAAAATGAAAAGTAGGATTCTTCCTCTGCTCACTCTAATTGTATTTTTTATACTAGTTTAAGAGGGAATTGACCTATTGTCTGGAACCGCCATCTTCCAGTGATTAACCAAAATGACGAAAGAAATGGAAATAATAAACTAGAATTAAGAAAAGCAAAGACAATTTTTAAAAAAGAGTACATTATGAATGGTTGACACTGATCCATTGGGTAGTGAAAATTACAGTACATAAAGCTGATGACCCGATTTCTCCTCAGTTTATCTCATTGCAAGCGGATCATGGAGAAGTGGTTTTACAGGATTTCCATCCTATAAACAAAAGTTGCCTTGAGCTTCTTCTCAAGGTGATATGAAATATAAGTATCTAAAAGAGCCTTGGAAGCTCCCTTTATTGTGTGATGTGTATTACATTGCTGCAAAATGACAGCGGCTAAGGGGTAAGGATTTTAGCAAGAAAGGTCAGCCACTTATACACTGATGGAAAACTTGGCCTCCTCTGTAGAGCATAAATGCTCTTCTTAGCTAAGCTCACAGATGTGGGAGCTGCTGGAACCTACTCCCTATGAATCCATGGCATGATGTGTGTTAAAAATAAACTAATCTGTGGTCTATTAAAAAAAAAAAAAAGAGGGAATTGAATCAGCATCTACTGTGTTGTACTTACAGGAGGTGATTAGTAACCTGCTTACAAGCATACTTTGAAAACAGCAAGAGTACATGTATACTTTACACCAGGAATGAAGCGACAGACTGTAAAGGTTGTAGAGACTGAAAAAGAAAGAAGGGAAAAGTCTTAGGTTGGTAGAGAAGATAGATTGATTTTATGAAAGAATGCAGACCAAAGCTTCACCTTAGGGGCAAAAATGTTACCAGATGAAAGTGAAAATGAAGTAAGTGTTTCAGTTATGGACAAGAGTGTGAGCAGAGGCACAATGCTGATTGACATCTGGGAAAATAGTTTAGAATTGTGAGTCTGGAACAGTTTAACTTAATGGGCAAGAGTAAGCTTGGGATGGAGAGGAAGGTTGTTTCAGGTTTTACATTGTTTTAAATACTGGCCTAGGGAATTTGAACCCCTTCTGTACACATTCAAGCGTACTGTCATGTGAAATGGGTGTTTTCTGTGCTGTACAGAGAAAAGAGATTCTGCGATTCTGAATACAGGTAGAAATTGTGTTAACCACAGCTTAGAAAAGGCTGCTGTTTTATAGAGTAAGAAAAAGTTTTATTTGAGAGACTTTAAAGAGTAGATGGGGGCGCCGGCAGGTGGAATGGTGGTTAAGGTACTGGACTCCCACATGGCTGACCATGGTTTGAGTCCCAGACCTGGCAGCCTGCTTTCTCACTTTCTCTCTCTCTCTCTTTCTCTCTCTGTCTCTCTCTCTCTTACACACACATACACACTGTCCCTCTCTGGCCAAATTAAGAAATAATCATAACAAAGTTTAATAAATAATTCTTTAAAAAAAGAGTGGCTGGGACTGGGCCAGCTGTGGCGTGTGGTGGAGGAGCTGGATCCCACATGGCTGGCTGCTGGGTTTGAGTCCTGAGCTCAGTGACTCGAGAAACATGCTTGGTGTGTATGTGCATGGGTGCCCCAAATCTCACAAGGAGGGAGACATGGAGGAGAAGGGCTTGTGATGTAGCCTCTTTCTCTCTCTCATCTCTGTCACGAGCATGTGTGCCGATAGCAAAGTAATAAAGTTAAGAAGGAATGGACAGGGCTTAGTGACTGGCATGATAAAACAGGCGTAAGACAGGGTCTGAGCGGGCTCCAAGACTGGCTTTGAGATGTGAGCGTGAGAAGAACGTTGCAATTTTTTTGGAGAGATTTTTGCTATAGGGTGCGTGCACTCACCAGAAAGAGAGACATAGAGACAGAAAGCGAGAAATCACCCCCCAGGAGGAATGGCCACGCTGCAATCCCTTCTCATCCATTCTCCTCTCGGGATCTTGGGCATGCATGCACACGCGCCCAGCGTGAGTTTAAGCCACCGGGTCCGGGACTCAAACTGTGGTCAACTACATGGGAGTCCAGCGACATAGCCAATATGCTAACTGCTGGTCCCCGTTGTGAATTTCTTTAAAAGAAAAGTTACTCCAAACGTGAAACACGGCATTCCAGGAGATATGCTGGTTTATTTGTTTTTGTTTTTTTCTTTTTGGTGAGAGTGAAAGGTCATCGATTTTAGATAATGACAGATAAGCAGTTGGAAATATTTAATGTCACAATACTCATGATCTGGTTTGTCATCACCAATGTGGATTTTCTTTGTATCTTTTAAACACAGGTTAACGTGGAAGATGTCACGGAGATGAGCAGAGAAAAGGCCGCGTTCAAGCCGCCAAGGTAGGAGTCGCCCTCAGCCCACCTGGAGAGGGCTCAGCGAGACTGGGCAGGTGTGAGAGAGGGTTCAGTGAGATTGGGCAGATGTGAGGGAAGGGCCTCAGCGAGATTGGGCAGATGTGAGAGAGGCCTCAGCGAGATTGGGCAGATGTGAGAGAAGGCCTCAGCGAGATTGGGCAGATGTGAGGGGGAGGGTCGAACAGCCATTCGTGCACTTCTGTTGACTCTACGTGAACTGAAGGAACAAGAGTAGGCTAAAGAAGGAAAAGTTAGTTTCATGCTCTGTGATGTCTAAGTTAGGCCTAAGGAATTGAACGTTACTCTCTCAGTATTTAAGGCTATCATTGTGTGTAGATAGGTTTTTTTTTTTTTCAGATATTCAGATATTCTGAGTATGTTTAGAAGTAAGCTAAGACATAGGAAAAGGTGATTGTTTACAGACTAAGAAAGGGAAATTGTTATTTGACAGACATTAAAAAGTTGATGGAGCTGGGAACCAGCAGTCAGCGTAATGGCTATGTTGCTGGACTCCCACATAGTCGACTGCGGTTCGCGTCCCAGACCCAGTGGCTTAAAATTCACGCCAGGCGCATGTGTGTGTGTGCCCAAGATCCTGAGAGGAGAATGGAGGAGAAGGGATTGCGGCGTGACCATCCCCCCTGGGGGTGATTTCTCGCTTTCTGTCTCTGTGTCTCTGTCTGTCTGGCGAGCGCATGCGCCCTATAGCAAAAATCTCTCCAAAAAAAATAATAAAAAATAAAGAAAAGTTGATGGAGCTTTCTGACTGGTTTATTAAAAAGAGCATAAGAGAATAGATCAAGTATTTAGTTGTTTTTTAACTTGTGGATTTTATATTAGTAAATGGAACATAAATCATGTGTGTCAAAGACCTATACACATAGAAATATACTACCGTTTTACAGAAAGATGTTTTATGTAAAATAAGTATCTCAGGAGCAGCAGTTAGCATAGTGGTTATGTCACTGGACTCCCATGTAGTCGACCATCGTTCAAGTCCCGGACCCGGTGGCTTAAACTCACGCCGGGCGCATGTGCGTGCATGCCCAAGATCCCGAGAGGAGAATGGAGGAGAAGGGATTGCAGCCTGGCTGTCCCCCCTGGGAGATGATTTCTCACTTTCTGTCTCTCTATCTCTGTCTTTCTGGCGAGCACATGTGTCCTATAGCAAAAACCTCTCCAAAAAAAAAAATCTCAAATAGAAAACTCACATTGTTTTTTCTTATTTGAAGTGGTCTGACAACCATCTTTTCTTTCATCCCCTGCTGTAAGATCTTGAATTTCTTTTTATTTTTTTAAGAGAGATTCTTTGGTCACAGGCGCATACACTTGCTGGAGAGATGGATAGAAAGCAAGAAATCTCCGCTAAGGTGGGAAGCTACACTGCAATCCCTTCTCCATTCTCCTTTCAGGATATTGGCATGCACGCACACTTGTCCGGTGTGAATTTCAAGCCTCCAGGGTTCAGGACTCCAGCTGCAGTCAGCCATGTGGGAGTCTAGGAGTGTAACCATTACACTATCCTCTGGTCCAAGATTTTGAATTTCTGACTAGCTTTTTTTTTTGTACATTTTGTGACAAATAATGAGTAATAATAAATAGAAATAAGCAACCTCCTTTCTGTCTTACTTGGTTTTGCATCTTGAAATACGACATTTTATTTGGTACCCTTCTAGAATCTTTTTCCTAGTACATGGCTCTCTGAATAGTTGTGTAGTGAAATAAAAACAAGCAGGCTATTAGAAGGATTATGTAAACCCTGGCTATAATCATCTGAGTTTCGTGAACCATGTATTGGGAGTATTTGCTTCTCAGAAAAATGTGTCTCAGCCATGGTAGCACACTCTGGTAAATGCTACTACTTGTCAGGCTGAGCCTCGGGGGAAGGCCAGGTTTAAATCCCAGCCCACCTAAAGCTGGTGCGGTGGCATGCACCTGTGGTCCCGGCTCTTCTGGAGATCAAGGCAAGAGGGTTGTGACACAGTGAGACCTGTCTGATTAAAAGGCATCAGTGGGGCCAGCTGGTGGCATAGTGGCTAAGGCGGCTGGATCCTGCGTGGCTGACTGTGTGTGTGGCTTTAATGTCGCAGTAGGTGTGCATGTGTGTATGCCCAAAATCCCAAGAGGAGAATGGAGGAGAAGGGATTGTGGTGCTGTTATCCCTTCCAGGAGTTGCTTGCTCGCTCACTCACTTTCATAAATGTGCACAACCTCTGGCAAAGTAAAAAAAGGAAAAAGAAAAAGCATCAAACATCAATTTAGCAGAGAAATTAATTCCAATAAAAGGTTAGTGTAGGTGCTGTCTTTATGGAAATAAGTATCTTCTAAGAGAGTACATAAAAGAATAGACCATCCAGGCAGCTGTCAAATAGACCATCCAGGTCAGACTGTCACTGAAACACACTAGAAATGTGATAAAGTCAGAATTATACTTCTGGGTACTCCAAGTGTTACATGAGGTTGGATGGCAATGCAGGTTATTTTTAAGATGCCTTTCTTAGATTCAGTAAAATATGGGACTTTTAGATTTCTAAGGATATATGTATTCTATTCCAGGCCAGAGATGAATTACAGAGAAGTAATACTTTTTTCCCTTGTCTCACCATACTGTTACTCTTCCACAAATAATTCAAAGAACTTGATAAAGTGCCAAAAAAATATAAATTACCTTGGGGACCTGTGTTAACTTCCTAGTTCTAGCATTAACTCCCATAGTTAATGCTTCACTCAGCCTTTTTGACAGTATAGGTAAGAATACCAGGGAGACTAAACTGGCAAGAATTTTGAAGGTCTTCTTTTTCTGGACTTGAAGATAAACAGACAAAAAAAAAAAAATATATATATATATATATATATGTGTGTGTGTGTGTGTGTGTGTGTGTGTGTATATACACACACAGATACAGATATATCTATTAGATATGTATATAGATATAAATATAGAAAGATATATATGTATGTGTGTGTGTATATATATTTATAGAAAGATATATCTTTATATATAAATATATACATATCTCTTAAGTTTGTGCAGAACCAGGTCTTTGCAGGGGAAGGAAGAGGGTAGTGGTAGGCTGACCAGCTGCTGTCTGAGCAATGACGGTCGTCAGCATGACAGAGGAAGAAGGGCTGGAACTGGACTAATTGATAATAGGAGCTAACATTCTTTTCTTTTTTTTAAGAATTATTTTATTTAACTTTATTTCAATTTGACAAGAGAGGGACAGAGTAAGAGAGAGGGAAAGTGAGAAAACAAGCCGCCAGGTCCAGGACTCAAACCACAGTCGGCCACGTGGGAGTCCAGCACCCTTAACCATCACACCACATGCTGGCTCCGAGTTAATGCACTTTTTAAAAGCCACTACCAGGAAATGTCCATGAGACCAAGTAATTTATTACAGTATTGAAAATATATTTTGTGGAGTGTATTATCATTTGTAGGAAAAGTTGCTATGTTCAGACCAAGGGAGTAACTTTGGGAAAGAATGATACTTTGTATACTGTCAATTAAAAGAAAATATATATTTTTTAAGAAAATTTAAATCTTAAGAACGCCTCAATAAAATTTTCCAGTATATTTTTGGTTGAAATTTTGTGACTTCATATATTTAAAGTTATCTGTATGTGTATATTATTATAGGACTACAGGATCTCATCTCAGAAGTAAAAACAAAGTAAGATCAGGCTCATCTTACCATCTGGAAAAACATGTATCTCCAAGAGGTGAAATACAGAGATCACCACCTGGCTCACTTTTACCTTTAACGTGCCTAAAAGATACATGTTCATCAAAATCAGAAAGCAAAACTGACTTAACTAATATTTCATCTGATATTTCAGAACACTGTAGTGGACAGCCCAGGAACTTAAATAGCACAAAGAAAAGAAATGAGCATTTTGGTGTCGCTGAAACTAAAAATAATAACAAAGACTGTGGTCCTTTTGTGTTTTATGAACAAGAGACTGTAAACGGCATATTTTCAGAAGGCCATGAGACATCTGTGCAGAAACTTAAAAGTTCTTCAAATACCACACAGAAATTTTGTCTTTCAAACATAAAACCAGGAACTAATGTTTCTCTTGCACCTAATGCATTGGTGTCCTCAAAACCTGTTTTCCGTTTTGTGCAGGATAGCCACACCAATCTAGAAATGAGTCAGGCAGTCTTGGAACTTCAAGATGGTAAAGTATTAAATTCACCTATTAAGAATACCACATACACCAGTTCTTCAGAACCCATATTTAGTGAGAACAAAGTTCCTGTTTTGCAAATAGATAAAACACAGTCACCAAAAATGGAGTTGGAGAAGAATGTGAAGGATGCACTGAATCCTAGTCCTGGACGATGTGGAGCAGGTGGGGACCTAACTCTTGGTAGGAATCACACAGCAAGGTGCTCTCTCTCTGAACAGCAGGATGACAGAAATGCGGAAGTCCTAACTCTCAGTGCTGCCTCAGACTGGAGTGAGCTCCCACCATCTGCACATAGCCCAGCATATACTTCTGAGCATTCCTTTGGAGCTGTGTATCCGTCGTACACTTGGTGTGTTTATCATTACAGCAGCAGGGGCGGCAGTGCTGTTGCCCAGACCTACCAAGGGGTAACGTCGTATGACATGCAGCCGCCTCCTGCTGGGCTGCTGACGGCAGTTGCAAGTGCTGTCCAAGACACACATTCTACTCTTCTGTGCTCACAGTACTTTACTTACTTTGCTGGGGAGCCACAAGCCAATGACTTTTTGCCAGCTAGTGGGTATTTTCAAGCTCAAATGCCCAGTTCTTACCATTTTCAACAGCCATTTTTTTCACAGTATGCTTTTCATCAACCATTTCCACAGGCTGCTTGCTTGTACCCTCCTAATCCAAGTGTGCTTCCAGAATTCTCTTGGCTTTATGGTGAGTTTCACAAATGTTAATGCTTTTAACTTTATACTTTCATGTAAATGAAATTCCCATTAAAAGATGATAGGTATAGGGGGCCAGTAGGTGGCGTGGTTAAGACACTAGACTCCCACGTAGCTGACCACAGTTTGAGCCCTGGGCCTGGCAGTTTTCATTCTCTGTCTGTTTCTGGTGAGCACATTTGCCCTATACCAAATTTTAAAATAATGATAAAAATAAATGAATAGTTCTTTTAAAGAAAGGTATTGGGACCAGCAGATGGTATAATGGTTACATCACTGGACTCCCACATAGTCAACTGTGGTTCCAGTCCCGGACTGGACAGCTTAAAACTCAAGCCAAATGCTTGTGCATGAGTGTTCAAAATCTCGAGAGGAGAATGGAGAAGGGACTGTGGCATGCCCAACTACCCTTGGGGGGGGTGATTCTTGCTTTCTGTCTCTTCAGTGAGCACATGCATCCTATAGCAAAAATCTCTCATTCATATTTATATATATATAAAAATTAGGACCAGCAGCTGGCGTAATGGCTATGTTGCTGGACTCCCATGTTGTTCGACCGCGGTTCGAGTACCAGACCCGGTGGCTTAAACTCAACGCCAGGTGCGTGTGAGTGCATGCCCAAGATCCCGAGAGGAGAATGGAGGAGAAGGGATTGTGGCCATCCCTCCTGTGGGGTGATTTCTTGCTTTCTGTGTCTCTGTCTGTCTCTGTCTTTCTGGCAAGCGCATGCACCGCCTGCTTTTGCTGGCGCGCGCATGCCCCCTGTACCAAAAAAAAAAAAAAAAAAAGAAAAAACTCTCAAAAAATGTATTAATAAAAAGATAGGTATAGCAGTCATTTTTCTGGTCTGGTATGTATAGCATTGTTCATATATTGGACAGTTTGTGTTGTCAGGTAGAAATCTTGTCATATGTTAAAAAGAAGAATTGATAATAGCACTAATACTATCTGTCAGTAAATCTCAACTTGAATCAATAAATTACAATTAACTCATATAGCAAGGTATGATGCAATCATTAAAAAGCTCAAAAAGTTTTTGATGATATGGGAGTTTTTTAAAATTATACTGTCTAGGGAACCAGCAGTTAGCATAATGGCTATGTCGCTGGGCTCCCACGTAGTCAACTGCGGTTCGCGTCCCAGACCCGGTGGCTTAAAACTCAAACGCCGGGCGCGTGTGCGTGCGTGCCCAAGATCCCGAGAGGAGAATGGAGGAGAAGGGATTGCGGCGTGACCATCCCCCCTGGGGGGTGATTTCTCGCTTTCTGTCTCTTTGTCTCTGTCTGTCTGTCTGGCGAGCACACGCGCCCTATCGCAAAAACCTCTCCAAAAAAAAAAAAAATTATACTGTCTAAAGACCAGCTAAATCCTGGACCTGGTGGCTTGAAAACATGCCCGGCATATGTGCTGCATGCATGCCCACAATCTCGAAAGGAGGGAGACGTTGAGAAGCGAGTGGGTTGTGAGCATATCTCATGGCAGGTGCTTCTTCACTTTCCCTCTCTATGGCAAGAGCACATATACTTTGGCAAATAAAAAGTTATTCTCTCTAAACTTACCTATGTAAGTAAAGAAATACATAGAAACACCAAGTTGTAATATGCCAACTTTTTTTAAGAGATTTTTGCTATAGGGTGTGTGCACTCACCAGAGAGCAAGGAGTCACCCCATCCAGGGAGGTGGCCATGTCGCAGTCCATCCTCCTCTCAGGATTTTGGGTGTGCACACACACACCACGCCCAGTGTGAGTTTCAAGCCACCGGGTCCAGGACACAAACTGCGGTCAACCACTTGGGAGCCCACTACACCACCTGCTGTCCCACCAACATTTTTAAAAAACTATATAGTTCTTTATTGTTAACAAAATGCTTTCATATACATATTATATAGTACTTACACCCTTTTTTTCTTTTTTTCCCAGTATGAATACACTTTATATTAGTTGAAAAATATTACCATACACATAATCAAATTATTTTCCTTTTTTGTGTCCATTAAATGTTTTGCTGTCTTTTTCCCCTTACTTCCCTCCCTTCCCCCTCCCACGCTGACTCTTATCATCCACAGTTACTCTCCATGTTTGTATACCCTTAGGTTTCTGCCATAGAGTGCACATATTTGGTATAAATTGAGTGGGGACATACAGTGCCTCTCTTGCTTTGCTTAGCAGTAAATCCTCCACATGTCTCCACTTTCTATCAAATGCCAGGGGCTCGTGGATTTTTATGACTGAGTAGTATTCCATAGTGTTTATGTGCCACCCTTTTTGAATCCATTCATCTGTTCTTGGATATTTGGGTTGATTCTGTGTCTTAACGGTGAATAATGCCGTAATAAACGTGGATGTGACAGTATTTTTCTGACTGAGTGTATTCCTATCCTTTGGGTGGAAACCCAGGAGTGAAATTGCTGGGTCATATGGTCCTTCTAGTTGTAGGTCTTTGAAGAACCTCCATATTCTCCACAGTGACTGGACTAGACTAATTTATATTTCCACTGGTTTTAGCCATTCTGACTGGAATTAGGTGGTATCTCATTGTGGTTTGATTTGTATCTCCCTTATGATGAGGGATGCCAAACAGTTTTCATGTGTTTTTTGGCAGTCGTGTGTCTTCCTTGGAGGGTTGTCTGTTCAGCTCATTTGCTCACGTTTTAATTGGATTGAGTATATTTTTTTTAAGGTAATGTGCTTGAGTTCCCTGTATATTTTGATAATCAGTCCCATGTCTGAGGAAGAGTTTGCAAATATATTCTCCCACTCTGAGGGTTGTCTCCTCACTCTAATCATTGTTTCTTCCATGGTGAATATGCCAACATTTTAACTTGTTTATCTCCGGGTGGTAAAACGTGGGGTGCATGGAGAGTGTCCTCTGTATTCTCATACTGTAAAACATGTTGGTTGGTAGCTGGAGATGAAAATAGAATGAAATGTCACTATGGAAAAAGAAACTTCAATCAGCGAAGGCAACTTCTCTCTCAGTTTTAATATTCTAATACAATATTTTGGTATAAGTGAATGGGGTTAGTTGAAGTGTAGATAGAAGAACTTGGTGAGTGGCCTTTGGAGCTTGAAAAGTTGTCTCTCTTAAGCACAATTCTGTTCATAAATATGATTAGAATACAGGTTTGTTAAGTTGAAATGTACATTTATCAGACTTAAAGCAAAACTTAAAATCATTTGGGCTACCTCTGGTGTGGTGATGGAAGCTGCTGGATCCCACATCAGCTGGGACTACCTGGTTTGAGTCCTGACTCAGGACTCAATGTGAGAACACATTGGGTGCATGTGCATGCATGCCTAAGATCCTGAGAGGAGAGGGAGATGGAGGAGAAGGGACTGGGGTGTGACTGTTCACCATGGGAGCCACTTTCTCACTTTCCCATTGTCTGTGTCTTTAGCACACACACTCTGGCAAAAATTGAACACACAGACACAGCTACTATGCAAAAACCAATAAAGATATATTAATGCCCAAATATTCTGCAGTCTGAAATGAAATGCACTTCAAATAAAGGTAATCTCTTAATATCTTAGAGAAATGAAAAAGAATTTCTTCAATAAATTTCCAAATTTAAATAACATTTATTTTAATAACTATCTTACAAAATAATTTTTTAAAAAATGAGTAAGCCCGTTAACAAAGTGCTCTCTTTTCAGTTAAGAAACTTGCCAGATCGGCACCACTGTGTTGGTGTCACAGCTGGCTCCCAGGCTCCAGTAACCACCAGCAGAAAGCTACTACAGAGCCCCTCACAGTCCTGAGCACCCACCGCCTCTCCCACCTCTTCTGTGCTCTCGGGTGCGCTGAACGCCCCCTGCCGTCTTCCATGAGAGCAGTGCCCGCTGGAACTTGGCACTGCTCCTGTGCTTTGCTCCCTAGAGAAGGTTTTGAGTATTGGGTAGCATGATAATCTGCCTGGTTCTCCTCCTCCTTTCATGCTTCGCCAGATGAGGTTAAACAGGACTGCAAACTTGTCGCCCAAGACAGAACTGGTGACAAACTATAAAAGGGGAGAAAGAAAAAAGGAAGAACATACATGACTTTTTTCCTTTCTGATTAATTTGAAACTGCTGCTGGTGCTGTGAGGGAAAACACCAGGAGTGGGAGATGTTGGCGACACAGTACATTAAAGTAGACATTGCAGTTCCTGAAGTAGGAGCTCTCGATGGTGTCTGTTTCATAAGGTTTCTCATAGATGGGCTTTCCTGCATTTTTAAATAATTTGGCTGTTTTTGATACTGAAAAAATAAAACTCAAATCAGTTCCAGCTGTGATTCTCAAAAATCTGACTTGTTGCAACCTTGGTTCTGTTGCAGTGAAAATAAAAAGGAGCAATTAATTGTTTCTTACAGTATCCAAAAGTCACTCTTATAAAAAACATTAGGAGGTAGTTGCAATATCACATGCACATGTTTTAGTTTTCATGAGTGCACATAGTCTCTTGAGCACTCTCAAACTTCCAGGAACTGCATCCTTAAAGAGATGTGGGGGAACCAGCAGTTAGTGTAATGGCTATGTCGCTGGACTCCCCCGGTCACCCATGGTTCGAGTCCCGGACCCAGTGGCTAAAACTCACGCCAGGCGCGTGTGCATGTGTGCCCAAGATCCCAAGAGGAGAATGGAGGAAAAGGGATTGCGGCGTGGCCATCCCCCCGGGGGGGGGATTTCTCGCTTTCTGTCTCTCTGTCTCTCTCTCTGGTGAGCACACACGCCCTATAGCAAAAACCTCTCCAAAAAAAAAAAAAAGATATGGGGACCAGCAGGCGGAGTGGTGGTTAAGGTGCTGGACTCTTTCGTGACTGACTGCAGTTCGAGTCCCATATTTGGAGGCTTGAAAATCACACTGGACCTGTGTGTGTGCATGGCCAAAATCCTGAGAGGACAGTGGAGAAGAAGGGATAGCAGTTTGGTCTTCTCCCCAGGAGGATGGTTTCTCTCTCTCTCCCTCTTCCTGGTGAGTGCACATGCCTTATGACAAAAAAAAAAAAAAAAAAAAAAAAAAAAAAAAAAAACTAAAAAAAAAAAAAAGAAAAAAACTCCTTCCTTTATAAAAAAAAAAAAAAAAAAAAAAAAAAAAAAAAAAAAAAAAAACTTTAAAGAAAAAAATGAGAAAATCCTTTTTACTCATTTATCGCTGTTTTTGCTCATAGTGTTTGTGTTCAACACCAGAAAATGTAACTAAGGGAGAGTGACGAGGTGGAGTGTGTGTGCCAAGCACATCACCTTGGTTGTCACATTTAATTCTGGTGCGGGACCTGGGAGAGAGGTGTTAAGTACCGCTCTGACGGGCGGGCGAGGGCCTGCGCCATCGAGGGCCTGGAAGAGCTCTTTGGTCTGTTGCTAGTGCGGGCACCTGTGTAGTCTGCACTTGGGTCTCTGTGGACGCAGGTCTTCCCACTGGACTGGCGCGTCGTTTCTGTACATCAGTCACTTACAGCAAATCCCTTTTTTTTCCTTCCAGCTCCTTGGCATCAAGAAGCCTTTCACCCAGGACACTGAAAACAGTCTTCCATCCACTGAAATAAAGGAGATCAAATATTTTTTCCAAGCATTTTTTATTTACATATTTTTTATTTTAACTTTTTAAAGTGTATGTAAATGTGGTAGGAAATGTAAAACATGCAGCCTTTTATAAAATATGTAAGTATAATGGTATATCACAAAAAGTAATAAGAAATCAACTTCTAACATCCGAAGGACCAAAATTATTTCCATGCAAATATAAGGAGTAATAAAACGTTTAATATGACTAAGGCTAAACAGTGGTGGTAATATCTTTGAAAGGTTTTTGTTTCTGATTTTTTAAAGAATGTTGTTATGATGTACCATTAGAGCTGGAGGCAGGATTTTTTTTTTTTTTTTGCTTGGATTGGTCATGAGACTAGTAATTTAATAATTCTTAATATTTTTTCATATCATTTATAAGTGTGTGACATGGTGAATTTCTTTCATTTCATTATTTTACTTATAAAATATTTCTAATAGAAAAATTGGTTTGCCTATTTTCTGGAGAAGAGATTTGAAAACCTTTCTTGGAAGTAGTTTTAGTTCATTATATTGGAATGAAAGCACCCTCAATACCTTTTTCTACAAGAGCCCTTGTCACAAGATTACTCCTTTTGTATACAATGTAAATGTGTTACAGAACGATTTTGTAGCAAATAACGGAATATGTTATGTTCATGCTGTTAATTTAGTCGTATTATAGTAATTTTAAATAATGCAACACACATGCAAGTTTTTAAGTGTTCTGGCCATAGGTTTCTCCCCCAGCCCCAACATTTTGCAAAACTGAAAAAAAATCTTTGGAATTCAGTGCTGGACATGAGGTGATCACAGGTGTACCCTGGAAGCTCCTCTCACCTGGCCCGCAGGAGCTGGCCAGCCACGCCCACCAGCACCCCAGAAGCCTTGCCCAGCACTTAGCCAGCCCTGACAAGTGACAAGGGATTTGCTTTGACTGAATCTAAAAAGCTAGTAAAGCTTTATCGCTTCCTCAACCTTTTTCATGTTAGCATACTTGTGGCGCAGGCCTACAAAGAGGGTAAGTTCTGCCTTGTAATTTTTCAATTGAGAAAGACACTGAGAAACCCCCAAGATAAGGGGTTTTAGTCAATTAACCAAAGAGAAGGGAGTTCAGAATGCTTAGGGCTCTTCTTTAACATGCAGATCTTTTAAAAGGGAAAGGCAGACACAGTCTTTAATGGGAAGAAACCAGGAATTTGAAAACATGATATAATTAAAGTAATATTAAAATAACCATGATTTTTGTTCATGCTTTTGTTTTAAGGTAACCCATTAAAATTAGAACTCTTGAACAGGTATGAACGCAGTAGTAGCAGCTTATTTAAAAAATGACTTTGCCCAGCCATTCCAGTTAGGTTAGGTTATGGAACGATGTTACAGAGTTCATTAAAAATTTTAGGTAAGCAAAGTTAAATATTCTAGTTACAGATTCTTTAAACAATTTTCAGATTATCTTGACATTGTGATACTTCTATTTCACAGGCTTTAATTTCTTCAAAAAAAATACTTAACTAAATTTCAAGTTACATTAAGAAGTCTGTAGTTTGACAGAATATGAAAAAAATGTATTTTTATTCCCCTCCCCTAGTTTGTATATATTTTGATTCTAAAGCTAGGAGAACGAATTGAAATTAAGCAAACATTATAAACAAAAAGGCTGTTTGTAAATACTGTGTAGGAATTTAGAATACTTGAATAAACTGGATTCCTTCTAATTTCAGTCTTTTGTTTACTTCTTGAGTAGAGAATGTAAGTGGTGTTGGTTCACACATAACTGGTATCTGAAAAGCAGCCCAGGAGGCCCTGAGCCCACTAACCGCAGTGCCCTGCACCCCTTCCATCCTAGCTGCTTTGGCCACAGGGCCACCTCTTCCTTTGCCCTCACTTTTACAGATGTCTTTCAAATGTAAAATTTAACACGTCTCAGTCCTGCCCTCCTGCAGCTCTCTGCTCAGAGACCTGCAGGGCTGGCAGCGAAGCCAAAGCAGATGAGCGCTGTCCCGGGACCCTGAAGTTGCAAGGGGGGCGTTGCAGTAGCCAGGTCCCATGGGGAGCTCTCTTCTCTTGCTCTCTCTCATGCACATGACCTCTGGCGTAATTTTTCAAAAAGAAACTTCTAGAAAGACAAGGAACAGTTACGGAAATTTCACATAATGAGAAGTGACTGACAGACAGTGTCTGGATGATACATAAACTAAGGCAGTCAGAGAAGGCCCCTCTGAGGAGATAAATCACCAGTGAATGTAGCCGCAAGGATGAGATTCCTCCAGACAGTATCCTTAAACATTTGTATAGGGTGCATGCACTTGCCAGAGTGGAGGGGGAGAGCAGGAGAAACCACCACCCAGGGGTGTGGCCACACTGCAGTGCCTTTCCTCCCTCCTGGCATTTTGAGCACACACACAGAGGCACCAGGCCTGTTGCTCAAGGTGCTGGGCTCAGGACTGGAACCATGCCTTCAGCCACGTGGGGTTCAGCA